ATGCCTAATGATAACATGGAGGATAGAGAAAGAGAATAAAAAGGAAGGAAAAAAGGTCAAGTACAAGTCTGTTAATGTGATCCTTATCATCATTCTAGAAATCATGATGTACAATTAGCGTTAATCCTGGAGAAGGGAAATTCTTTTTTTACATCATGATTTATAGATTGATGCACAGAATGATGACATGAAAGAGAAAAAAATAGACAAGGGAAAAAAAAAGAATTCAGGTTGAAGTCAATTAATATAATACACATCATTTGATAAATCAATTTATAACCATGATATACAAATAGTGTTATTCTTGGAGAAGGGTAATTCTATTTGTACAATATAATTTACAGATTGATATACTGAACAATGAATTGGAAAAGATAGAAAGAGAAAAAAAAACAGAAAAGGAAAAAAGAAGTCAAATAGATGTTAGATAACATAATTCACACCGTCATTGTGTAAATCAATCTGTAGACCATGATTGTCAAATAGTATTATTTTTGGAGATTCACAGAACAAAAAACCTTGATTGAATATGCAATATTTACACACTGCCTTACACTCATTGAGAGAATATAGGGAATATAATTGAGAGAATATGTAATAGAATTCAAATTTGAATATAATAAAATGTGTATGTAATAGAATGCATATAATAATGAATAATGTAATAGAAATGAATTGATAAATATTTGATATTGTTATTGTAGAGACTAAAAGAGAGTGTGGATTGTTGTGTGAATTGAGGCATATATAGAGGGGAAAAAAAAATTAGTAATCGTTGAGGACCCAACGGTCATTTTATTAAAGCAACTGTTTCGTCACCTAACTCGTGGCTTGGTGAGCCTGCTTCTTGACAATGGCGAGCTGAGCTGTTGAGGCCCCTCGCTTGGCATGGGCTTGAGTTCATCTTGAAACAAAGCTCATGCTGTCCATGGATCGAGCCCCAATAAACAGAGTTGATGCGCCGACGAGCTATTCGACTTGATTTCCGCCTTAATGCTAGAGAGTAGATCTAATGCTTTCTAAGCAGGAAAAAAATTTATTCTTAAAACCATGGAGAGTCGAACTTGTGATTGGTGTTTGAATCGTATAATACATACCAATACATTGTCAACATATTTAGAGGGTGTTTAAGAGACATTTTTATGTAAAAATGCATTTTTGAATAGTAAATTGATGGAAAATGTGTGGCTGAAAAATAAGGAAATTTTTTTTATTTACGTGTAATATTATTTTAATAAAGAGTGTGTGGTTGAAAAGAAAAGAGAGAAAAATGCATTTTGAAAAAAATGGTTACCAAACGGGTCTTTAATTTAGCCCTTATTTGGACTCCATTTTAATGAGATTTTGTGAAACATATACTTTGACATAGTATTTTTTTTTTTTTAAAGAACTCGTGGTTTAGAAATAAGATTTTTTTTAATTTACTTGTAATATTATTTTATTGAAAAATGTGTAATTAAAAATGAAAAAAGAGAAAATGAATTAAATTAAAGTCGAGCCCAAATAGTGGCTCGGTAAAAGTTAGGATCGTTTGACAGGACTTCAACTATTTATATAATAACTTTTTAAGAAAATTATCTGACTAATTTTTTTAAAGTTATTTTAATTGGACTAAATACTTGATAAAATTATCAAAATAAATTTAAAAATAGCTTCATAATTTCAAAATCAGCTTTTTAACTTTTTTTCAAACCCCTTGCAAAACTGGTCCTTAATATATTGTAACACCGGAAAAATAGAATTAGTTATTACGAACAACTATGATAATTAATATGAGATATTAAAACATTAATTTATTTTCAACACAAAATATACTTAACACTATTATCATCTGAATTGTTCAAAGAGTTTAAATAGTAACAATTGAAAATTCTTATATTTGGAAAGTAAATTATGACACAATCTATTATAAAAAAAATAAAAAAATTAAAATTGTGATTGATATTTTATTATAAAAATAAAATCATAATGAATAAAATTCAAGGAAAATGACAAAAGAATAAAATAATAATTACAATTACAACTATAAATTAATTAATTAAAGCAAAGAAAAAACTGAATTATTTATTGTCTTTTAATGAAGAAATATTTTGTATTTACAATTACGTTCGATTTTGATTGACCCATCGGTCGAACCGGGACTTCATGACCCAACAGCCTATTCTAGTAAACAACAATGAACCCGGTCTATCCCCTCGGTCGGTATTAATATAATCCCTTAAATCTGCCCCCTTTCCAATCCCATTTACCCTAAAAATGTCGGACAAGATTGAAGCACGGCAAGAATCAGAACAAATTACCGAAGAGAAAATCTCACAATCGGGCACTTCAATCCCTCCAATGGCGGAAGCTGAACAGGCCCAGCAACAACCCGGATCCACGTCCACCGGAACAAAATTCTCCAATGTTTCCTTCAGCATATGGCCACCGACGGAGCGCACTCGCGACGCCGTCAGAAATCGCCTGATCGAGACCCTTTCTTCCCCTTCAGTTTTATCCAAGCGTTACGGAACTGTTCCACGCGAAGATGCGGCGGATGCGGCGACAAGGATCGAGGAGGAAGCGTTTTTGGCCGCTGGGGCTGCTGCTACCACCGACGATGATGGGATTGAAATTCTTCAAGTTTATTCCAAAGAAATCAGTAAGAGGATGCTGGATACTGTGAAATCTAGATCTGATGAAGCGGAGCCCGAGAGCAAGCCTGATAAGGAGCCGGAGGTGGAGAGCAAGACGGAGGAGCAGAAGGAGGAGGAGGACGTGGGATCCACTGCTCCGCCTCAGAGTGAGAAAACCGAGTCTGTTGTAGATGATGAGTGACCGACTCTTGTTAAGGTTCTTGCACAATTATTATGTTTTTATGTTTTATTCTGTTATGCGATGTACTTCGTACTGCAGTGTATTTTCGGAGGGTAATCTATATTAGTATCACTAATTTATTTTATATTGCTTTTTCTTGGTCACTACACCAATAGAAATTGGGTTAATCTGGATGCTTGGTTGGGGTAAATTTTTGGGCATTCCTTCAATTACATTCCCAAAATTCTTGTTAATTTTTCAGTGTTTGTCATATCTGTTCCTGAAAACGTGATATGAGCATATTGAATCAGTCTGGAGGCATAGAAGTCTAGAACTGGTTTAAGGTAAGTGGAGTATTTTAAATTTTAAGATAAGATTGAGTTAGCGCTAGCTTGAAATCTGATTTCAACTGTTTATATATGGCTCATAGACTTTATATTTCTGGAGAGAAATATTATATTCTCTGTAATTTGAAAAGTATAAATGTTATATTCAATGGGACTAATATACTCTTAGATAAAGGGCCCTTGCCTGGTATGGGTGGTCACCTGAGTGGCTGTAGTACTCTCATTCCATATGGTGGTTGGTTGTTTGAGATGGCCTCAAACATTGATGTAGGCAATCTTGTGTTGTGGTTTAGTAAGGTAGTTAATTGATTATTTGAGTCATGTAAGTTCTGAGGGTGGTGAATGTTCTAGCCAAGGGATTTCATTGTCACAAGAATCCATGGTTAAAATTGACGTCAAAGTATTTCTATTTGTTTGGTTTAATCGATGAGATAATCCAGTTGTACTCTCGAGGATCTAGTTTTCATGTGAGTGGATTGATGTGGATTAAACTTGTAGAACTTCTATGAGCAATTTAGAGTGCAGTAAAAGTTCCTTGTAATCACCCCCATAAGCTAATCTACTTTGGTTTTGCCGTATTTAATTGATTTTCTTACCGAATAATTTGAATCAATCATGGATGCAGTGAAAGAGAGTAGGTGATGGAATATTCAAGATATTATTATATTTAGTTTTCAATTTTGAAATTTATTTTAGGAAACATAATTAATAATTTGATTTTATTGATTTTATAATAATTTCCTACTTTAATAAGAACTAGTCGAACTCTATATAAAGGGGTCTTTTGCGTTGTAATACAACAACCTTTGAATGAATAAAATTTGATTTTTTCTCCCTTATTTCCTTCTTCCTCTTTCCCATCTTCTTCTCTCCTTTCCCTCTCCTCTCTCTTCTTCCCCTTTCCCCTTCTCCTACAATTCTCCTATTACATCCGGTATTAGTAGGGGAAATTTTTTTGGTGAAAGAACTATTCTTGGATTCATTAGTACCTTTAGAGCATGTGTTTTCAATTGTTTGTCTTATAGTTTATATTTTTTATGATCTTTAGGCTAAAAGTTTCTATCTGGTTCTAATTCCCTGAACTGCTTTCTACTACTTTGTAGAAATATTCAGCCCCTTAATTATGTATATCCATCTATATTTTGTCTTTGTCGCCTAATTTTCAAGCTTGATTTGTTGTTGGAAGAAACAAGAGCGTAGTCTGACCACTTTTTTGGCATAACATTCACTTGCATTAAGATGACATCCTCCCAAGTAAACTTAAATACTACTGTTTGACTACAATAATTCAACATAAGATTTGAAATGTGGCTAAAACTTAGATTGATGGCTTCGAATCAGTCAGATGGTTGACCTGTTTATAAGTTGGGGCCTGTTTGATAGAGCCATTTTCTTAGTTTTGAAGGAAATTGAAATTCCACCCATTTTGTGGTGTTTGATTCCCAAAATTTTCCAGGGAATTACTTTTCCACTTCTTCCTCCCGTGAAGCCATTTTCTTGGTTTTGGAGGAATTCCATTTCCTTGGGTTTTGGTGAGAAAATGGGTTTTCCAGTTCTTTTGTTTTTTATAAAGCAATGGAAACAAATTCTATCTAAAAAAATAAATAAATAAATAAATAAAATCTATCTATTTAATTGACAATTTTCATGAAAAATAAAGTCAAATGAATATTAAAAGATTCAAAATTTCAACAATTTTCAGGTGAAAAATTATATCAATTAAACACATTTAATTGGCTATTTCTAGTAAAACAAATGTTGGGCAATTCAATTATTTGGAATTCGTTTTCTTTCCATCTAAATTTTATTATTACAATCAAAAGGACCCTTACGTTCAAATCAATTCTCAGTTTTCAGAAATCAATTAATTCTCAGTTTTCAGAAACCAATTGACTGATTATGGAAGAAATAGCCAAATCAGCATTCCTAAGTGACGTGTATTTAGATTGCTTTGATTTTTCAGTAGTCCAACACAGATGAGTTTGTGTTTCTGGATATGTTTTGTGAATAAGCATGAAGTTGGAATTACAGTTAGTTTCTCAAACTCTTTAAATATATTGTATTAACTTTGTGGATGATTAGCTAATACAGAAGTTTAGTGAATGATTATCATGGTTTGTATTGCAGTTGATAATCCTTCATTTTTGTTTATTTACCTGTATTTGATTGACGTTACCATGTCTACAAAGTTTTGGTTTTGAAAATGTGGGGAGAAAAAAAAAATAGTTTTTCTCAATAGCTGTTGAACTTAAATGTAATACCGCAAAAATTCATGCAATACATTATGAGGCATAAATGCACGTTTTGAAAATTTGGAATGACTTGGCAATTTTACCATTTTTTAGGATCTTGTGTTAATATTCCTAATAATTGAATATCCATGAGTTTTACACAGAATTAAATTTTAATATTATTTTGGATATCTATTAAATTATTTGATATAAAAATATCTAGATAAGTTTAGAATTTTAACATATTTATACATTGAAAAATAAGAGATTTAACGAAATTATAATTTAATGTTTGGATAAATATTGAATTATTATCGTATTATTTGATATAAAGGTATTTATATAAATTTAGATATTAATATATTTATATTAGATTCTTATCTTCATGTAATTAGAATTTTAGTAGATATGGTTGTTTATTAAGAGTCCAATCTAAATTGTAATGAAGAGTTCCATTAAAATTCTAAGTACGTCATTATTTTTTTTTATGACCATAGGTGTTTGGGTCAGTTTACGCGCAGCTCGACTAATATTACGGGACCCTGAAATTTGCAGTTGAGTACTCACTTCAATAGCTCTAAAGAGATTCAAACTGATGATTATTGGAGAGTAAATTCAAGGTCTGACCACTAAATTATTCCTTAAGGTTCTAAGTATGTTATTATTATTATCAAACTTACAAATATCATTTTATTGTGCAATTTAATTCACATAAATTTAAAGAGAGAGAGAGAGAGAGAGAGAGAGAGAGAGAACGAGAAAACAAAAAAGTGAGAAAGAGAGAGAAAGAAAGGAGCAAATAGAAATGTGTAGAGCGAGAGAGAGAGAGAGACAGTGGAAAATAAAATGGAGAAGAGAGAGAGAGGCAAAAAGAAAAAAAGTGAAGGAAGAGAAAAGAAAAGAAAGAAGGGCAAAAAGAAAAAAAAAGTGAAGGAAGAGAAAAGAAAATAAAATGGAGAAGAGAGAGAGAGGCAAGTAGAAAAAAAGCGAAGGAAGAGAGAAGAAAAGAAAGAAAGGCAAAAAGAAAAAAAAAAGTGAAGGAAGAGAAAAGAAAAGAAAGGAAAAGAGAAGAAAATATTTTTTGACGTGTTCGAGATTCATTCGCAAGAATTTTCAGCCTTAAGTTGTTCAAGTATACAAGAAATTTAACGAATAGATATGGATTTATCTAAATGTCAAGTGATTTTGTATTTTCACTTTTTAATGTTTTCAGTTAAGTATTCTATGCGTTATTATGTAATCCAAAGTAAAGGAAGATGATGTGGGTAATACAATTGAGTATTATTATGTAGATCTACACAAAAATCAACTCTAAATATCCTTAGTGGAGATTGAGAATGAGTTTGATCTAAGTGAGAATCAGACAGTCAGGCTACTATGCCATTAGAAAATTATGTTATATGCGTATTTTACTTGCTTTTTATATTAAATATTGAAAATATTAACATGAAATCCATACTGAGTGTATTCGTATACTCATTTCATATCCTAAATTATTTTTGCAAATGCTTGATAAATCGGAGTTGAAAGTTGAAACTGTTAATAGAAGTCGTTGGATTAAGAATTTTCTTCTCCTTTAATATTTAATATTTAATTCGAAAAGATTTTTCCCTTTTTTTTTTAAACTAGAATTTTCATTTATTTAATGTCAAAGATTTTTCCTTTTTTTTTTTTAAACTAGGATTTTCATTTACTTTATGTTCAAAATGGATGTTTAATTTTTTAAAAATAAGCGCTAAATTTTTATTTCATTAGTGGTTTGAATTTATTTGACTTATTATGAGACAATAAAATAAATTATTTTATTCCGCAAAGTTTCTTCAAATTTTTTGTATTATAATGTGCCAAATAATTTTTATAATGGCTAAAAAAAATTAATTGAGTAACATTCAGAACATAGGTTTCGGAGCGTTACAGCATGGTATCAGGGCCCAATCAATCTTTCTTGCAGATTTTATGAAATTAAAATTTTAGATTTCTTTATATGTTGAAGTTAAATAAATTTTGACCCACACAACATCGAGATTGACATGATCGACTTCTAACTGACGATCTAAGGTATGGAACTCGATGTAGGCACTATGAGTTCTTGTTATGCCCTTTGGCTTGACAAATGACCTAGTGGTCTTCATGAATCTCATGAAGTGAGTTTTCCACAACAATCTGGATCAATTTGTTATTGTCTTCATTGACGACGTACTAATCTATTCAAAGAGTGAGCATGAACACACAAAACACCTAAAGATTATTCTCGAAATACTGAGAATGGAGAAGCTCTATCCAAAATTCAAAAAGAGCGAATTTTGACTCAATAGAGTGAAATTTCTAGGCCACATAATCACAGCCCAAGGAATTGAAGTTGACCCAAGTGAAGTCAAAGCAATTACTAATTGGCCTAGACCAACTAATATTAGAGAAGGGTGCAGCTTCTTGGGATTAGCAGGTTACTGCAGGTGATTCATTGAAGGGTTCTCAAGGATTGTCATCCCAATGACTCAGTTAACAAGAAAAAACATGAAGTTCAATGAATGGATAGGTGTGATCAAAGCTTTCAAAAACTAATGCAA